TAAGAGCAGAGGGTGGGGTGGGAACCGGGTGGAGGGGAGCTATGGGGGGGAAAAAACGGAACAACTTAATCTGAACAATAAATATTTAAGTTTTTTTTAAAAAAAAGAGAGAAAAAAAAGAACTATTTATCACTTAAAAGATATTTGGGGACCTTTTACAAACTAGATTTTCCAATTACATCCTTCCAAATTCTTTATATAGTGAAACCCATCATTAGAGCTCAGCTCACTAACTTATACAGGCTCTAATGGCTCCCCCAGCCGGTATAGCTACACAGTAATATTATCTCTTAGCCAATGGGAGTGTTCTTTACTATTTTTGAAGGGAGCATCATAGCAACATATGTGGTAAAGGAAAGACAAAAGTTGGATGTAGACAACCCCTTTGAGAAATGAATATTCCTCCATTTGCTATAATTTGGATACAGTATAGGCAGCATACTGAAAACCTAGGTTTAGGATATCTCAGTATCAACCCCTACTGTACTAACATTAAGGTAAATTTCCCTGGGAGCTAGTTTTACAGTAAATAGAGAAATCCATTCCTTTCTTCAAGTGATGGCCAGGGAGGTAAAGATATTTTCAGAATATCATATTTCAGAAGGCATAGCAGGGCACAGTATTTGAGGAAGATTTGAGGATTTTGAGTCTCCACCACTTGCCTATTGAGTGATCTTGAACATATTACTTAAAATTATTAAATTTTAATTCTCTCATCTTTAAAATGAGGTGATAATTTCTTCCTTATAAAATGATATCAAAAAATTATGAGAATATATATTATTATGTAGCACAAAGGCACAGACGTGGAATGATAGGCCTAGTGTTTAGGACAGAAGCAAAATGGGGGGCTCTAAAATGAGAAAAATGATTAGGTTTTTTAAAAGAGAAGTATTGAATTAGTTATCTTGATTAAAAATAAGCTTAGTATTTATACTTTCTTACACTTTAATAAAATGCTTATTGACACTTATGCTTATAGAAATGGCCCCAACAACCTCTCACTGCTAGTCACTCAAAGGATTTTGGCCTACCTCTGGCTTCCTCCTCCCTCTCTGGACCGTCTGGGGCCCCATCCAAACACAGATACTCAACCATTTTACTAAACTGGGCAATAAACTGAGGCTACCCATTTCGATGTCTGTTGTGTTTGTCTATTTTTCACCTGTATCCTTTTAGTTTACATTTTTCTATGTTCAGGGTACCATCAATCTCGCAGACCTGGGTAACTTTTCTAGTCTGTCACGTGAAAAAAAAAAACACTCAAAAAAATAGAAAATGAATTACAAGTGCACAAGTGATAATTTTTTTAAAACTATAATGTGACTCACAGGTATTCCCCTCTTTGATGTTCTCTTTATGGGGTGAAATTGATGCACAGCAAAGCACACCAGGTAAGTGCTCATGGGGACAGACTTCTGGAAAATTGTTCGTTTCCATTTGTCATCCACTGACTCTTCTTTCTGTTGAAAATAAAAGATAATATTTTATCTATCAAAAGGTCAATCATGTACAAGGACAAATGAACTTGACTTTCTACTCAGAAGTCCTTTGTCAAAGCTTAAGGGTAAAATTTCTTTTTAGGGGTAAAATAGTGTTGAAAAGGCTATAGGAAAATTTATTTATTTTCATTACTGTGAAAGAGTGATTGAACTATACACTGTATAAAGCTTCTCAGGGAATACAATTCTGACTGTGATATAAACTGGACAGGAGTTAGTTATCTTTCGACATAAAGCACACAATCCTGACCATAATATCTTTTAAAATCCTTATTGTTGAAAGTATTCATATGTCCCCCTTTTTTCCCCACTGACCATAATATTGAGGAGATACTGTGATTCTTTAAAGAAGATAAGGCTAGTGTTCAAAGCCTTGCACAGAGGAAGAACTAAGTAGGTATTTGCTGATTTGCGCATGTGCAGGAGGGCAATAGCTGTACCAGGCACAGCAGGATGTTGGGTTCTCTTTTCCATGTCTGGTTGTCTACAACAAAGACCCAAGGTATAGTCACTAAAGTCACAGCCCCACTGTGGGGAGAGAGAAGGATTCCATGGCTTGGTGCAACTACTTATCCCATCTGTCTGGTTTTCTCTCCACGCCAGCTTTGCTGCCCCCACTGCCAATCACCAGTCCTAATACTCCAGCTATGAATACTTGCCCAACTCCTGCTACCCATTGTTTAAACATTCCCACATGCCCTTCAGCCACACAGTAAGTCACAGGCCAGTGAGAAGCTTTAAAAATGGATTAAGCAAAGGAGGCTGAAGTAGAATTGATGTGTTGTTCACAAGGCAAGTGTGTGTACACATGTGCATTGGAGCTCCAGGGAAGTACTATGCTCTGCAATAAAAACCTACTGGCATTAGTTTTGATCTCCTAATGATTCAGAATAGTCTCTTCTTTCCAGGATTTCCAGAAGCATATTCTGCAAAAGTTAAAGGTCACATGGGGAGGTCTTCAGCAGGTTACCAAAGTTGGCATTCTTTTTCCTCCCACTTTCACCTTCCACCTCCCATGCCGAGACATTCTAATAACATTTTATTCTGATCCAGTCTTCTGCATTGGCGTCTCATATGTTAAATTTATCCTGTCCTCTTTCTTCTCCAATCAAAACTCAATTGCTCAGGTGCCTGACACTGGAAGAAAAGTTGATAAACTAATTCAAACTGGGGCATAGATAGCTGGTGGCAGTTCACTTTTTAATCCTCTTAAGATTTTGTTTGTTTTAGTTTGTTCTTGTGGCTTTTTTGAGGCATATTTATAATAAAGATGGATAAATTTCAGTGGTGATATTTCAAATAGTAGACAAGAAGGTTGGGGGATATAATTTGGGCAGGTTGTCTTTTTGATACTAAGTAGGTGAGAATTATATCTAAGGACAAGCTTGACCCTTTTACATGTCAAATGTTTAAGATATAATATACCTCAACTTTAAGGTAATAATATTTTATCTTTTTTACTATGTTTTTATTGATTTTTTGGAGAGAGAGGAAGGGAGAGGGATAGAGAGATAGAAACATCGATGAGATAGATATATCAATTGGCTGCCTTCTGCATGTCCCCTACTGGGGATCAAGCCTGCAACCCAGGCATGTGCTCTGACCAGGAATCGAACCAGTGACCTTCTGGTTCATGGGTGGATGCTCAATCACTGAGCCACACCAGCTGGGCTGAGGTAATGACATTTTGGTTAACTACATTACCCATTATGGGGATAAGGAGCAAGAACAGAGGAAAGAATCTTATGTTAATAACTAGAGGCCCGGTGCACGAATTCATGCATGGGTGGGGTCCCTCGGCCTGGCTGGCGATCGGGGCCTGTCTCACCCATTCCCGATTGGGCCGATCGGGGCCGGGAGGTTGGCCAGCCACGGGAGGTTGTCTGTGGGAGTGCACTGACCACCAGTTGGCTGTGGGAGCATCTGCCCCCTGGTGGTCAGTGCATCATCATAGCGACCAGTCATAATGGTCGCTTAGGCTTTTATATATGTAGATTATACAAACAGAACTTATTGTAGCCTATTTTTTAAACGTTTAAAGAGCAGGTCTAATTCACCAGAAAATCCATGGGTATGCTGTTCTCTGGGATTGGCTTCTGCACACCAATACTTAAGTGATGATATTTTGCAGTATTTCTATTTTAAAAGCTGAATTTATATTCAAATACAAACCAAGAATAGTGATGAGGCCCTTGAATATTTTTCAGTCTTCAATTCCTTTATTTTGCCATTAATTTGTCATTCTTTCAGTAAAGCAGAGCCCAGCTGGTGTATGCCTGCTGTATTCTCTCTAACTTAGAAAACCCAGTGTGGCTTTTTGACTGGACTGTGATCTCCTGCGATAAAGACTTCTAGGAATTCAAAGGAAATGTATTCTGACACCTCTAAATAAGCCACAAGAGCACATTTAATTTTAGAATTCAGCAGTGTTCTTTCATAGCAAATCAGGTAATTTACCTGATATTTTAAACTACCTATATTCATAAACAAACAATTTTTAAAAAAATACTCACCTCCACTGGCATATTTGAAAGTGCCTGATAGTCTTTGGGGTGGACGATAGATATTGTATAAGTTGCCTTTTTGTTGGGCTCATCAAAGCAAGGGAAGGATTTCCTGGCATCTGTTGGTTCATGATCAGTGGCTGCTATGCTCCTTGGAAACAAACACACACACACAAAAAATCCTTGTTGTCTCTTCTGACAGCCCCTCTGTTTCTATCCCTACAGAAAACAATCAACTGTGTAATTATAACCGTTACATTTCTTAAAATGAGTCTGAAAAAAAAACACACACACACAAAATCCATGTTGTCTCTTCCGACAGTCCCTCTGTTTCTATCCCTACAGAAAACAATCAAATGTGTAATTATAACCGTTACATTTCTTAAAATGAGTCTCCATCCACACTCAGGTATTTTGGTGCCATAATTAAAAATATGTGAACTGTGGATGAGCAAAAATAAACCCAATTATGAGCTATCACTCTCTTCACCACAGAATTGTCGAACAACAAGTAGATCAGCGGTTCTCAACCTGTGGGTCGCGACCCCTTTGGCAGTCGAACGACCCTTTCACAGGGGTCGCCTAAGACCATCCTGCATATCAGATATTTACATTACGATTCATAACAGTAGCAACATTACAGTTATGAAGTAGCAATGAAAATAATTTTATGGTTGGGTCACAACATGAGGAACTGTATTTAATGGGCCAGAAGGTTGAGAACCACTGAAGTAGATAATCACAAAACCAACTCCGGGCTTGTCCGGAACTGCCCCTGTGAGAGGGAGCAGCTGTGTTCCCTCACAGAGCAGAGGAGCATGTTCCAGAGTCCCAGCTCCTGTCCCTAATGGCACATTCTGTCTTATTTATGTTACTCCAGGGACAAAACCCAGTTTCATTTCCCTGCAAAGGAAGGCTCTGAGTAATCTGTCAGGTGAAGCAACCTTTGGCCAAGTTTAAAGCCCAGTTTTGAGAAGAGCATTTTTTATGGCTCTAACTTAGCATATGCTTTACATTTAATGTTTCCATCACTTCAAAGTGGAAGTCCTTTTTCTGAGCAATGGCTCAAAAAAAGAACAAAAAACAATGAATATATAATTGTTATGTGTGGTCATATCAGAGTAAGATAGTATTATTGTATTACTGATGGGAAGAGTAAGCAAAGTAAAAAATATAAAAGAAAGGACAAAAATGTTGGCTTATATTCATTAATAATTTGTGTAAGGAAAATATTTTGTTCTTTGAGATCCTCAGGGATTAAGGAAGGAATATCACAAAGATTACCAAGCTAAATTATTAGATCATTTATTCATCCAACAAATACACACACACACACACACACACACACACACACATAGACACACACTTGCTAGGCATTATTCTATGTGCTGAGAAAATAACAATGAATAAATAAAATAAATAAATAGATATGCAAATAGATAACTGAATAAGTAAATAAATTAGGAGCATGTTGGGAGCTCTATACAAAATAAAACAGGGAGTGACAGAGAATGATTCGGGAAAAGTATTGAGCAACCTTAAATATAGTAGTCAAGGACAATCTCTTAGAGAAGGTGATGGTTTGTTGAGATCTAAATGATGAGGAAAAACCAAGACAGGCGAAGATTAAGGAAAATGTGTTCTAGCACAGGGTGCACAACCTCTAAGGTGGAAAATAACTTAATGTGGTCGAGAACTTGAAAGGTTTCCAGTGTGGCTGAAGTATAGTGAACCAGAGAGACTGGGAAAAAGAGTTTCAAGAGCAGAGACCACAGTAAGGGTTTGAATTTCATTTGGGTACAAGGGTGTATTTTTTAAAATATATTCTTATTAATTTCAGAGAGGTAGGGAGACCAAGAGAGAAAGAGAAACATCAATGATGAGAGAGAATCATTGATTGGCTGCCCCCTGCACACCTCACACTCCCCAGTGTTGAGCCCACAACCTGGGCATATGCCCTGACCGGGAATTGAAATGACCTCGTGGTTCATAGGTCAAAGCTCAACCACTGACCCATGCTGGCTTGGCAAGGATTATTATATACATTAATTTACTTTAAAAATACTATGTCTTAACCCTAGCTGGTTTGGCTCAGTGGATAGAGCATCGGCCTGCAGACTGAAGGGTCCCAGTTTTGATTCTGGTCAAAGGCACGTGCCCCAGTTGCGGGCTCGATCCCCAGTAGGGGGAGTGCAGGAGGCAGCCAGTCAATGATGCTCTCTCATCACTGATGTTTCTGTCTCTCTCCCTCTCCCTTCCTCTCTGAAATCAATAAAAATATATTTTAAAAAATACTATGTCATAGCTCAACATCCATCTATAAGAAATTAAAATATTTTTTAATTTCTTTTAAAAATTTCTCAGGATATAAAAATTACTTGATAAAAACTCAGCCAAGAAAACTAACCTATGTAAGAAATACAACCAGAAAAGTGTCTGTCTGGAGAGGCTGTTGACTCAGGAAGGGAACTTTCTGGGACAATTGAAAAAAATCTTTATCTTGATAGAAGTGTGGATAACAAAGATCATAATTCATTGAATTGTGCCTATTTGATTTGTGCATTTGATGTATACAAATTTCTCTAAAAATAACTGTAAATCAATATTGAGCTCTAGTAAGTAGTTTTGTGTTGTTGCAGGGTGTGGGTTAGCAATTCAGGAACAACCTTCTCTATATGCTTGCTTGAGCCAATAAAAAAAAGTAATGGAAAGCACCTTTCTCACTATTGGGGAAGAGAATTCTAAATTTGTAAAGAGGGAAGTTTAGAATATATCCTTGGTATCCAAATTTAGAATTCTAAATTTGTAAAGGGGGAAGTTTAGAATATATAAATGCAGGTTTGGGATAAATTCAAAGATTTTTATCTAGATAAAGTAGATAGATATAAAAATACACAGAGACATATGTTTCCTAGCTTTGTCTGCTGAGTAGGACTGGATGCAATGACAAGCATGTAGTAATGAACACAATTACTGTATTTTTCCATGTATAAGATGTCCCCATGTATAAGACATCCCCCACTTTTCCAAACCAAAATTAAGAAATCAATATTTTAAATATTTTGCTGGTTGTCCTCTTAAGGCCTTCTTCTTTTTTGGCATCTTAAGGAGTTGTTCTTCCTGTTTTCTCCACTGTCTGATCATATACTCAGTGGGAGGAGGTCCAAATTCTCTCTGTAGCTCTATTTCCATGCTCTTTTGCATAGCTGATTACATTCAGTTTGAATTTTGCAGAGTAAGACAATTGCTTACCGGTATTTATCTTTCTATTTTTTGACATCTTTATGGGCTCAGAAAGCTCGGGTCCCTGTTGCATCTGCACACTCTCCACCTCCACCTCCACCTCCACCTCCAATTATGGCATCAGCTAACATCAGTAACAATAAGGCTCGTGATTGGAGGAAGCCTGTTTGACAAGGTATGGGCAGCTACACACCCACTCAGCTCCCTCTTCGGCTGACTTCTGTGTATAAGATGTCCCTCGATTTTCAGTCTAACGATTTTAGAAAAAAATAGCATCTTATACACAGAACAATATGGTAATTCCCAGATGATCATTTTTAAATATCACTCTCCACTCAAAGGAACCAGGACTCCTTAGAGAAATGGCTGATTCCAGTGCGGGGTCAGGAAAAGTCCAAGATAATCCTGGAGCATCTCAGTGTGCCAAAAAGTAAGGAAGTTCTCAAAGAATCATGGGAACAAGTAACAAAGACACGGGAGTCTGCTTGAGGGACTACCACTAGCCAAATCTGGGGGAGTTGGAACATCAAAATAAACGATGGAATTATAACTCATTGAATGAAATAAAAATCCATGAATCCTTACTCTGATAAAAATGAATGAATAATCCTAGCTGGTTTGGCTCAGTGGATACAGTGTTGGGTCACAGACTGAAGGGTCATGGGTTCAATTCTGGTCAAGAGCATGTACCTAGGTTTTAGGCTCTATGCACTGCCCAGCCTTCTGTCAGGGCACTTGCGGAAGGCAACCAATCTATGTGTCTCTCTCACATAGATGTTTCTCTCTATCTCTCCCGTCCCTTTCACCCTCTCTAAGAATTAACCAAAAATCAAAACAGCCCTGACCGTTTTGGCTCAGTGGATAGAGCATCGGCCTGCGTACTGAAGGGTCCCAGGTTCGATTCTGGTCAAGGGCATGTACCTTGGTTGCGGGCACATCCCCAGTGGGGGGCGTGCAGGAGGCAGCTGATAGATGTTTCTCTCTCATCTATGTTTCTAACTCTCTCTCCCTCTCCCTTCCTCTCTGTAAAAAATCAATAAAATATATTTAAATAT